CGTTGTCGTGACTGAATATTGACAGATTTTTCCAGCTGTGTCGAAAACCTTCAAAGCTGTAGTATTCTCTTCCATCCGGAAAACATGGCCTACCCGGCGCAGCTGTTGTCTTTTGATTCTCAGAACTATGTCAATGTCGTCATATAACTCGTACAGCTCATCGTTCCATCTAATGCAATATTCGCCGTTGCCAATGCACAAAGGAGCACAAATCTTTGGCAGAACCTTTCTCTCGAAAACTCGTAACGTCGTCTCGGCAGATGTTGTCATCGTCCATGCGATTAACGGAAATAATGACTGACTTATAGAGTTTGACRAAGCTTTTGGTATTGCTCAACGTCAGTTTACATAGCCGTATTAATTTTGTGGGGATTCTAGCCATAGCGGCATAAAACTATATATGATATTGATGATATCAATATCATCGGCATACGCTGATACAGCTGTACACTCTTATAAAAGATTGTACCTGCTCGATTAAGTTCTGCAGCTCGAACTATTTKCTCCAGAAGTAGGTTSGAAAAAGGTCACTRCTAAAACAAAATTCTAATAAAAATTAATAAAATGTTTTATTATTAATTAAATAATAGTTAAAATAGTAAACGAAAATGTAGAAATAATTACATAATTCCAGGTTCACCAGCTTTTTATGTAACTTCGTGAATACCCCAAATTTGTTTTATTATTGTTTTAATGACCCAAATACGAGCTAGTCTTGCTTTTTATTGATTATTTGTTAACAAAAAGCTATTTAATTAAAGAAATATTCTTTGAAATTCGAGAAATCGAATATATAGGTAAGATAACAGCTATGCATTTTGGGATCAATAACCAGTAATTGAATTTACCATACAAATAAACAGGAAATGTGTGTTAATGGAGTTCTTAATATTTCTATTATTTTCAGTATATGGATGTGGGTACAAACGTAGATTTATTGCCGAAATTTCGCCGCTAATGGCACAAACAACTGATTTATATACACAAGTTTAACCATTGAGAGAATCTTAAATTGTTGGTTACGCTTCAACAAGACTGGTCCCAACTAAAGACTTGACTATTGACTATTCCATTAGTTTGAAGGTCAGCCAAGAAGTGCGCATAAACAATAACACACCTATATGCATATATACATATAACTGCATATGTTAGCATATACACACCTATATACATATATAAACATACGCACAACAGATGATGATATCTCGTATGTATGTATCTACATGTGAGCATATTAGTTGTGGGGGATAAAAAAATGGGAAGCGCTAATGCAAATGGGGATTATAAAAATCTCGAATTGGTAACTTGAATTGCGAAGAAACTTGTGCAAGAATTCTAAAATTATAGTGTTCTTGTTTTTTTTTCGGAGCACAAACAAATAAATGTAGCACAGTAGTGCCAAGGAAACACGTCAGTATGTAGGCACATGTACATATGTATGTGTGTGTGTGCATACGTTTTTATGCAACGAATAATTTCTTTATTTGCATAAATTAGCAGCGGCGCGCACAAAAAAACYTGCAGCGCGGGGTAACAGTGAAATACACTACATTAAATGTATATATAACAGACATACATACATACATATGTACGTACGTACCTAAACTAGCTGCAGATGTTTGTATGCGAGCGCAAACAGGTCATCTTTAAAAAGAACACATTTAATAAATAAAAGTTCTAATGCCATTTCGAAATTCAAGTTGTCTCACCAGAACCAGAAGTGGTGTCTGGAACGTCTTCTTTATTTGCCGAATATTCATACAAATGTGATATTCGTAGATTTGCGCGCGCACACACACCGCTTCATAGATACACACTTGTATATGTGTGTGGGTGGGTGTGGAAGCTTGAAAGCTTGTTTTACTGCTGCGCACGCGCACGTGCTACTTGCATTTACATCACATGTCTTATGTCACACATGAGGTAACTTCCCCTTACAGTAAAAATGCATGGAACGCAAGATCATCAGGAACCATTTTCTTCCGCTTAAATGACCAACTTTCTTCTGCTGCAGCAAGTAGACTGATATCATTGCTTGCGACTTTCTTTGACATTCGCCGCATTTTGTATAAATCTCTTAATAATTAGCCGGTTTCGGTTGGCAACTGACGTTCGCATAACTTCGTTGCTGGTGCCAGAATCTTGGTTGGCGCAAAAACCGTTCATCTGCTGCATATTAGCACATGTTGTTACCAGTTTGGGGGTTGGCACGTAATGGGTTTTCAGTCAGCTGGGTCGGGAGACTAACGCAATTTTCGTTTGCTAAATAGACGAAGACCAAAGCGCTAAAGTCCAGTTGTTATACAGCTGAAATATTGACAATTTATTGCTTGCACTCTATTGCTCTATCCTTACTGTTTTTGATTATTGTTAATTTTATATTTAATGCATCAAAGATGAAGCAAATGTGATTGCATTTGTGTTGTTAAAACCAACCCAATAAACGTACATCGCAGGCATTCTCAAAATCACATTTAGCTGTTATGCTCGAACAGCATTAATACGAGTATGTAKGTATGCATATGTTTTGTGTTTGTAAATATTATATGTGAATTATATATGCATTTTCGTATATAATTATGCATTTGATGCATTTCAATCGCCACAAATATAACTCTGATCATTCTTAATATATATGCTTATACATACACATAGTTATGAATGTGAAGGGTGATCCCAGAATGGAAGCGGGATTGTAAGCATAGACTTTAGACTTTACATATCTCCASAGGRAAGGATGTAACGGTGTAACTTCACACGACCTTGATGGCCAATTGACCGGCACAAAATGGGAAATTCTCTGTCCACCGAAGTTTTCTCTCAATAAATCCATTAATTGATGTGATGTGTGGGAAGTGCGGCCGTCTTGTTGAAACGTCATCGAAATCACGAACTTCAATGACCGGTATCAAATAGGCGCTTATTAAGCCACGATAAGTTCGCCATTAACACTAATGTTCTCACCGGCATCATTTTCGTGGMAATATTGAACGATGATTCCACCGGTCTACAAACCACACCAAACCGTTGTGTTTTCTGGATGAAATGGCTGCTTTTGAATCTCCTCAGATTGCAGTTCGGCCCAAATGCGGCAATGTTGCTTGTTTACATACCCATTGTGCCAGAAATATTCTTCATCGCTGAACAAAATTTGCCTCGAAAACGTCGGATCTTCGTGGAACGTTTCAAGAGGCTTCGTTTGAGAAGGTCGAGCGGCTTCAGTTCCTGTACAAGCTGTATTTTGTATGCTTTTAATTTAAGATATAGATGTAAAATACGCCAAGTCGTTCCAAGCGGGGACGCGGTCTATTCGGTCGAATATTATCTCAAAATGGATGATGGTGTTGACAATAGTGCGCTCAGTMGTCCGATTACTTACTGTGATCAAATTGAAAGGTTTTTTATTTATACTTCGCGTGTTTTTCGAATCGGTAATTTTTTTCTGTAAGTTGGTAGTACTGTTGGTGACATAGATGTTATATGTTAAATTTCACGTCAAAATATTTATTAGTATTTAGATACCCGTCGTTTTGTGAGTCTCTAAAAATGAATTCTTCGATTTATACYATAATATGTGTATCGTACCGGAACCACCGCATTTGCCTTATTTAACTGAGGATATAAATGATGAGTCTGATGATTGCAAAATTCGTTTGCATAAGTGTGTTGCAGCGCTCGAAACACATTCTTTGAAGAACGTGAATTCTAGCAATAAAGTTTAAGTGGAATTCATTATTCATGAGGAATAAGAACCTCAACATCTCTTATGCATCGACTAAACTATTTTGGTTTTAATGTTTCGAGTATGAAAAGTGTCAATATTAATTTTGTACCAAAATTCCTAAATCTTTTGTGAAAACCACGACAAGTAGAGGTTGCAAAAGTGATGCTTGACAAAGTCCTACATTCTTCAAAAGCATCATTACTGCTGACGAAACGTGGATATGTGAATATGTCTATATGTGTGAATAACCTCGAGAACATGGCTCCAAAACTGAGCGGAAAACGTAAAAACCAAAATTCATTGAAAGCACTGAAGGCCCTCAGAACCGAGGCTTATAACAAGTGTATGGAAAATTTGATTAATCGTTGGCATACGAATCTGTCCAACAATATAGAGAACGACGCTTCAAAAATTAGAAATAAAGCGAAAAAAAAATTCTGAAAGTTCTGAAGGACATGCCAACCACCTTGGCAAGTTGGATTAATCGTTTGCACACTTGTGTATGTATAGGAGCCCTGAAGCCTATTTTGAAGATGATAATAGGGACTTGTATCAAGATATGTGAAAATGATTTTTGGTCCTGTTTTTTTGTTTCATTATTTTATTGAATATGTTAAAGGTTTTTAAGTAAGCTAAAACTGTTCGAGGTTGTAGATAAAATTAGCATAAATAAAAGTTATTAGTATTAATTTATTCTGCAAAATGCCCTCATAATATTTATGTTTAAAAYAAGCCCGCTTATACATATATGTAAAACATAATATTTTAACGGCGCCACCACCAGCTTTTAAAGCCTACTCTTTTACGAGGGGGAGCGAATAAATTCAAATTAATGTTAATATTAAATTATTTATTAGAAACACAAATTATTATTGGAGATCGTGCACAAATCTGCAAATAATGTTGTGTTTTTGAAATCCGTGCAAGATAACACTTTTTACTAGCACCTTTACTTTATTGTCAGCTGTCAACTTCCTTTCCGCTGTTAAGACTTCCTAAACTTAAAGTTATTATATTTATTTATTTGTAAAACTGGCTCCAGGTATCTGRAGTTATAAAAAATTATTTATTTCGCAGAAAAATTTTAATAGCTAATGACAGCTCTTAAACAAATAATTGGATTTTGAGTGAATATATCGTTAAGCTCTTCTTATCTGTTGCTCCGCCAAAGACGGCAATGMAAAATGACAAATGTACAATTTTCCAAATGAATTACAACAGCTGACTGCGCAGGCCTTTTCAAMTCGACGTATAAAAGACAATGGTTTGATAGCTGGCAGGTTAGTAGCGTCTGTAAAACCTATTACTATACTGACGGCATTTGCAACGCCAACAAAGCACCCGGCTGGCACATAAGTAACGGAAGTTCAAAGTTTTTCTCCAAATAACAAATAAGTGCTTCTTATTGTTGTATTGTATTCTAAGTGTTTGTGGATCCATAATGCATTTCGCCGAGTTTTTCAAACTTTGTCAGAAGTTGCTATTTTTCTTGCCCCTAACCACCGCTAATAATCCAGAAACAACTACAACTGCACAGCGCGGTGAGATTCAAATTTAGTGCGTTTTTATTATAACTTTATATTGGTATTGCAAAAAATGGAACAAATATTGGAAAAAAAATAAA